TGAACGTGTCTGGGTGTGCCCTGGTGTGATCTTGAACGTGTCTGGGTGTGCCCTGGCGTGATCGTGTAGGTGTCTGGGTGGGCCCTGGTGAAACCTTAAGAAAGGATTAATTGATGTGCTGTCCAGTGACAGCCAATCAAAATAATAAAGGTGAGATGGATGCATATAAAAAAAAAGAAAAAAGCTTGTCAACAATGTGGAACAAGCCTTCACTGGGACATGAAGTTCTAATAAAAAAGAAAAACATTTTTTGGAGTAGAGAGAGTTTGCATTCAGCTCATCTTATTATGAGTGTCAATAACAGCACAAGACTATTACAGATTTGTTGTGAAGGGGCGCTTACCTGCCACTCATATACTGTATTTCAGAGCAGCTCAAACTTTAACGTCAGACCAAGTTTGGCCTAAAAATACACTGCTCATTTCTGACAAAGCTGTGTGTATTTTCCTCTGCTGCTGTTCCCTCTTAAATGGTGTGTAAAGAGCCTTTATTTCCAGTGAGAAATTGTCCTTGAGTGCTGGGTGAAGGCTTGGAGGGGGGAGAGTTGATGTGTGTGATTTTTGCTGATTGCTGTTCAGCCGTGGCGAGAACAGAGCCTGAATCTCAGCCTTTATTCTCTCTCCTTCTCAGAGCTTCAGAATTTCAGCACTTATTAGTCACTAACCTTTCCAGGGCCCCCAGAGATTAACACTAGGCTTCTTGTTTCTCTTCAGCTTCCCTGCCATAAAGATGCACTTGTCTTGGCAGAGTCACTTACTGTAATACTGACTTTTGTCTTTCAGGATCGCCAACTCTTCCATCCTCCTGCAGGATGTATACTGTCTTCTGTGCTGTTGTGATTGCGTGTGGCTGCCAGCGTGCTTTTTGAATCTGCTACTTAGGGAAAGAGGTTGATGATGTTTGCTGTAAAGGCGATGAGAGCCTGTATAGCACACAGCTTCCCTGCTTTCAATCCCACCGCGGTGAGGCCCGTGGGAAGGGAGAAGGAATTCTCCCTGGGAATGGTGCCAGCAATCGGTATGGGATTCACCAGGTTCCAGGTGGGCTAAAATGTGACAGGAAAACAGACTTAGTGGGACCCAAACCCGGATCCTGTCTCTGCAGCATGAACATTGTAATCATTATGAGTGACCACATGAGGAGTTGCTGCTGGACAGTGACAGATTTGGCCACTGCAACATAAACCTGGGTATTGTCATCAGATAACTCAGAGCTGCTGGTATCCAACGCAGTCGCTGTCATCACGCAATGTGACTAGGATCACAAAGGCAGCTTGCACACCAAAACCGACAACGAGCCCTGACTATTTGCAAAGAGCTGGGTTTTGTGATGAATCACTCTTCTATGTCTCATTTTGTGATCACAGAGCACAGATATGCTGGCAAAGCCAAGGCAGAAC